GGGCTTCCAGCTTCTGCGCAACACAACCGACCATGTTGAGCCTGCGGGCTAACAGCCAAATATTGGTGATTGGAGATACATAGTTTCGGTTGCCATTGACGTTCAACAGACACTGGTTTCAAGTATGTCGCATTCCTTCCTGTCTGCGCCACATTGGCGGCGCAGTTTCAGGAAAGCTAACATTAAAAAAAAAATGCGCGAAGACCAATGAATGGAGGCGAATGTTCATGGTAATGACGTCAAAATGCTCATGCTTTTGGTGATTACTTTTTTCCTCATTAAAGGAGTTAATACTTGACATGCGTATATTAGTGCAATATTCACTTTGCATATGTTGAGAATACGTCTTTGTTGCAACTCACTATTATATAGTAAAGGCATTTAGAGTAAACCCCGAATATGGTAAGCTTCGCATAGTAAACGCATCAAGTTTTTCATAGTAAATACATTTGGTAAGCGACACCCTCATGTGGTTAAATAACACAAGTGCATGGCGGCCCTTGTAAAGATCCGCATTAAATAAAAAAAGCCAAAACAGTTTTTTTTTCATGAAGGGCAGGTTTGATTTCTATTGCTGCAGAGGAATGAAGATGCATGGCACGAACGTTCTTTTCTCGCAGCAGTCTGGAAACAAAATAAAGGCGGGAAGCGAATATGCGACAAGCGTGTAACGATAAATGAACTGAGCCAGATATTTATAGGTGGGGCTATAAAAAAGAAAGAGGAGGTACTCAGACGCACTGAACTCACAAATGTGAGCATTTGATTTTTTTTATACATCTACGTTTTCTACTTTGAACTGCAGCGTACGTGACGATGAACGAAGCTTCACAGAAATTATCATGCTTGCCTTAAGTTTAGAAAAGTAGAAATGAAATACATAAGTGGGTGGCATTTTCATTCACCCCAAGTAATTTACTTAGGAGCATCTACTCATAAACAAGTCTCCACTATGAGTGATCGTCAATCGAAGAATCAATCTGTTTGACACCTATCTTTCAGATCATAATTTTCCCTCTCTTCCTCTCGATGTGCCTTCTGTTCAAAACCTTTATAGTAGATGTTATGAAGGATGGGCGTGTGACATAGTATAGGTTGAAATGTATACTATCAAACGGCGGGATATCGCTGAAGGTGCCGTTTCTGTGTCTTGTTCTTTGAGAAATGCGAGATCACCTGCCGAAACGTCCGCTCTAGCGACAGACCATGCACAGGAATATTCACCTCTTCATATCTTGCTGATATTCTGTAATATTGTGATTTAGTACGTTGAGAAGATAAGCGCTGTAGCCTAATAGCATTGTCTAATGGACGCCGAGAAAAGGGAACCAGAGTCAGGGCCGACAAACAATTGCAAGTTAAGTGCATGCCACCACGAGGACATGGTTAGGAGAAGCACCACTGTGGAGGGCTCTGGAAATTTCGACCCTTTGAACTTTTTCAACGTGCCACTAAATCTAACCAACGCGGGCCTCCGGCACTTCAGGCAATCGAAATGCGGGCGCCGCGGCTGGGATTCCATCCCATAACCATCGGGTCCGAAGTCAAAGCGCTTAGCAACGCTGGAGGCCGATAGAAAATTGTATGTCGCGATGAACTGAGCACACCTGCAGATATGAAATTAAACTTTAATTCGGCATATATAGAACACCGATTGAGATGTTGATGGTGGCGATAATGATTTTTAAACGGCTCTTGTAAAACCAGTATATAATCTTTCTTGTGCCTGGTTTGTCGCATATTCTCTCCGTATTCCTATCTGTGTTTTTCCCACGATTGATTGATATGTGGGGTTTAACGTCCCAAAACCACCATATGATTATGAGAGACGCCGTATAGTGGAGGACTCCGAAAATTTTGACCACCTGGAGTTCTTTAATGTGTAGTTTTTCACACGGTTTCTCAGTGGTGAGTGTTCGCAGTCGAAGTATAGCAGACTCTGATAATATTATGGATTTCGCTTTCAGCTTTGCTGAACTTTTTTTTAGCGTATATCAATGCAAATCCGGCTTTGGAGTTTCAAGTTTGGAGAATAAATAGGTGACAATAGGTGACGTGAAACTGACATTCTGGCTGTGGCATTTCGTTTATATTTTAAGCGACATGGGAGAATGACATATAAATTGCACTTTTGCTCACATATATACGGTACTTCGTAGATCATGTTTATGCTGTTGAACACGTTGTAAAAAAAATTCAGAAAAAAATTGCTCATTGTCGTAATTTGCGACAGATGTTCAGCCATGCTTTGGGTACAGTCAAATAAAACTAGTAATCTCGCCTTGCACTTTTTCCCGGCTGTGGCGGTTGCATTTCCGATGGAGGCAGGCCCGTGTGCTCAGATTTGGGTGCGCGTTAAAGAACCTCAGGTGGTCAGAAATTTCCGGAGCCCTCCACTACGGCGTCTCTCATTATCATATGGTGGTTTTGGGACGTTAAACCCCACATATCAATCGAATCGCCTTGCACTTCATTGCGCAATAAATGTTATTCCTTTTTTTGTCTACGTGCTTGGTAAGCATAAGTGACACTTGTTTATCGCGAAAAACAGGGCGTGGCACAGGACATTTTTTTGTTAATTTAAGCGCCATTGAAGTGAGCGATATAGCATCGTCGCCAGCAAGCAGCTATCAACGAGGTTTGTTTCGCGGGAAGCAATGAACATCGTCCCGAAGGATAGCACCGCCATAATCCCACACGTGGCCACAGTATACAATAAACATACACTCGCGAAAGGCGTTCGACCGGCCTCGGAACGTCGCCCGCGCGATCTGATTATTCTTTGGTGGCCGCCCTCACGAAAGAGACGCTGATACGAGGACGCCAAAGTTCGTGCGCGAAAGAATTACAAAGTGAGGGAAAATATGGAACGGCTGCGCTGCCGGTGTAAGGTGCGAGGAAGAGAGGTGCTGTCGAAGGAATTCCGTGATTACATCGGAAATGGTGGGATTAAACGCGACTGCCGAGCAACGTGGTTTCGAGGATATACGGTATGCTAGCGGCGGTGGTCGCGAGGTAGCGACGACCTCGAAAAGGTCGCTAGGCGACCGAGGAAGCGCATTTATAAAGCGAGCGCCGCATTCTTTTCGCGCTGGCATATATAAAAAAAAGGATTGGTAAAAGCGCGCCCCGCAGTGCGAGGCAGTTGGAGAAAGGATTCGGCGGTCGTTTATTCTTTCGCGCTGCCAGACAGACGGCGTCTCTCGAAGGGTCGGTGTTTTGGGCGTTTAAAGAGAAGACAGCCGAGTGGAGTACGGGAATAGAATGCGAACAACCTTGGGTACAAGAAGAGGAGCATAGAAGCGCTCTACACGAGACGGCGAGTGAGGTGTGCGTTGCCCGAGACGCGCGAGAGGCGAAGAAGCAAGTGCTGCCGAGCGAGGCGAAGAACTTTTCCGAGTCGAGCGGCAGTCGAAGAATAAGAAGAATAAAAAAGGTGCGCGCGAGAGAGAAAACGGCGAGCGCGCCAAGCCTGCACAGCGCGTCTCCGACCTTCAGACAACCCTGGGAGAGGCGCCGCACCGCACGACACGTAGATCCCTGAGCGCGCGCGCTCTCTCTCTCCCACCATCTCTCTCCGACACGACGGCTTTCCCGCTATGCGCGGTTTTTCGGCGGGACAGCCCACAAATTCTCGCGAGTTAGCGCGACGGGGGGCGAGAGTGGTCGCCTTCTTTCCGTTGTAAGGTTTCGAACCTCGGTCAGCGCTGCGTTACAAGACTTGAGAAAAGGGAATGAATGTTTTGTCAAGAATACGACACAGAAAGCACAACAGCGGTTTGTTGAGGAGTTGAAGGGGAAATCGATGATGACGATCTGTGACCGGTAGCGCATGTCGTATCGTCACTCACCTTCCATTCATAGACGAAAAGCAGCGCGTAACGCCAGTTCTCCCCTCGCCACAGCAAAAAAAAAAAAAAAGGAATGCTGGCGAGCGTTGAGACTGGTGGCATAGTATGGCTCGCGCACTAGTGTATCGATCTACACAGTAACCGCAGTCGTGGAGCAGCTAAGGTTGTGAACCGCGTTTTTGGGAGCCGCACTGGTCCTCCGTCTCCCGAGCCTTCGACTGTGTGTTTACACTACGCAGCTTGAGGGTTCAAAATGCCACACTAAACGTATCCAACCTTCACCTCTCAAAAAGTCAGACCTCTCGTAGTTCTTCATATTTATAGGTCTAGCTAGATTAAAAGAGGGCGCTGCGGTAAATCCATCGGCCGCCAGGGGAAGGGGCGGCGCATTGAACCATTCCCCGCGAAGCATAGCAGCATGGCACGAAGCTCTTGGGCGGCAAACACACTCGACGGCACAGCACGTCACAAAACGCTGATACAATAATGCCGGGCACACTACAAGCGGCCCGGGCATCACAATACAAACAACTTGATATAAATTACTATAGTGGCACCGAAATCAATATAGAGGGACCTTTCCTGTCCACCTTTTCCTGTGATTCTAATTTCTCCATTGACACGATAAAAGCAATTCACTCGTTGATTTTCGCACCGGTGGGGACGATCTTTCACAAGAACTTGTCCCCACGCACCCCTATGACTGCAAAATTAAACACAATGTGACATTTATGATCCCAAAGTGAACGAAATGAAAAACAAATACCCCTGGAGTGAATTGTCCCCGCCCAGTTGTTAGCTTGTGCTTCCAGTCCCGTCCCATCAAAGTTTGGATATTGTCATAACGCGGTTTCCAGGCTTTCAATAACGGAGGAAGGACAGCTCAGCCGCACTTCAATATTTCCCGTTCTTTGAATGTGACACGTTTCTTTCCTTCATTTCTTTTTTTTTTCCTTTTCACTAGCGAGAAACTGAGGATGATCTTCGTAGAGAAAAACGGGCCACGTCCACCCAAACACCAGACACAACCCGTCACCACCGTAAAACCAAAACGCTGCCGGCACCAGTGGTTAAAAGAGAGACCCCCAGGCCGGCCACGACAGAAGAAACAAACGACAGGTTTTGCAGGTAGACACAATCCGTACTGACCTCCTCCATTTTCGTATGCCAGGTAAGGGAATCGCCACACGTTGCCCAGTCCGACGGCGTAACTGACGCAGCCGAAGATGAAGTCTAGCTTGCCGCCCCAGTTGCCTCGCAGCGGCAAGTCCTCTTCGCTCGAGCCCAGGTCGTCGGCATTGGCGGACTCGGGCTTGGCCGGCAGCGAGTCCACATCGAGCAACACCTCGTCGTCCACAACCACAACGCCGGCGCGGGGACCCAGGGCGTCCTTCTCGGTGCTCGGGGCCACCTCGTAGTCGCCACCGGCGCCGCCGAACGGCGAACCACCCACGAGGGCCTCGAGAAACTTCTTGTCCGTCTTCATGCGTCGGCCGGCGCGTTCCTACTGACTGGCGACGTGCACAGCAGCTCCGGATCTCCACCGCTTCCCGGCACGCCGCGGCGCGCGCGCGCTCTCAGCGGCGTCGACTTGAAACAGATAAAAAAAAGGAGGAGGAAAGAAGAGAGAGAGAACCGCGCAGCGCTTCTCTCTCTTTCTCATCTCTTTCCGTTGTGGGCGCGAGTCTCCGTTACTGGGAGAGTGAATAGGCAGGTAAACTCGAGAGAAGGAAATCAGTCCTCTTTCACGTTGCTTCCTTTTTTTCTCTTTCATCGCATCCGCTCCTCTCCAAGCACGAGGGATACGGTTTCCTCCGACAAGCACGCCGGAAAACTCGGAGTCGCAGCGTAGTTTGTTTACCAACTCTGTCACGCTTCTTACGCATGCCATTATCTTTTCAGATATTCCCATTCCTTCGCTCTGTCTCCCTTTGTGATTGCGGGGGTGGTTTAGAAGAAGAAAACCCAAACAAACAAAGCTTTTGTAACGTTAGCCGCCAGGGTGGTCTAGTGGCTAAGGCACTAGGCTGCTAACCCATAAGCCGCGAGATCTAATCCCGGCCTTGGCGGCCGCATTTTCGACGGAGGTGAAAATGCTTGAGGCCCGTATGTTTAGATTTAGGTGAACGTTAAAGAACCCCCGGTGGTCGAAATTTCCGGAGCCCTCCCCTAAGGCGTCTCTCGTAATCGTATGGTGGTTTGAGGACTTTAAACCTTAACGACTATTGTTTCATAACGTCACCTCACTGCAGGTTTCCTTTTAAGCGACACCCATACCGCTCTCTTTTTGATTTTCGATGATTTGAGGAAATCATGAATGGGGGGGGGGGGGGGGAGCGTACGACGCCTTGTTCATGTCGTTCTTTCACCTCCCTCCTTGGTAACTGTGAAGGCCCTCAAGCATCGTTAACACCAAGTAAACAAAAACAGTTGCAGTCCGCATCTATAACATTTTCTCGCCTAGCGTTACGTAGTACTTCGCGCTTTGCCGCGCTTTTTCTGTGGCAGCTGTGAGAGGAAGAAAAAATACATGAAAACTGCACAGGAAAGTAGCGGAAAGAGAGAGAGAGAAAGAGAGAGTGAGCATGAATGAGAGAAGAGGATGAAGGAGTGCAGGCAGGCGCCACAGTCGGCCCGTTTTCGCCCGTCTGCCGCCTGCGGCGCAGCTGCCGCTCCTCTTTCGCTCTCATCTGCTTCTTTCTCACTCTCTTTTATTTCAACACAACAGTCCCTCCTTGCCTTTCCGATGCTTGCTCTCAGCCACCTATCCGGGCAAGTCGCTCAACAATGGATGCGAGAGGCAGATAAAGGAAAAGAGACATCCCGCAGATAGTGAGCACCTATGCAAATACTAGTAAAGAGAGAGGAATAAGAGAGGGAATAAACATGGCGGTCTGACGTGACCAGCTGCCCCGATTCGATTTTCGCGCCGAAAGGCGCTGGTATATAGTTCTATTTCCCTATAGGTGCCGGGTCGGTTGCGCGCAGCGTTAATTTTCCCGGAAAGTAAAAAAAAAAGTATAAGACCAATCGGTATGGATTTATTGTGTTTCAAAAAGAGTGATAAAAAAGAGCGCCAAATTTGAATGAGTACGCACTTTTTCTATGCAAGACGACGAAGATACGCTTGCTACTGTTAAGACCTGGTATGTCAATATAAATGGGAACGCATGCGTAAAAAATGCCAGACTTAAACAGTTGTAGCTTGCGTAATACTATTACTACTACCACTACAATTACTACTACTACTACTACTACTACTACTACTACTACTACTACTACTACTACTACTACTACTAGTAGTAGTAGTAGTAGTAGTAGTAGTAGTAGTAATACCACCCGGGCTTTCAAAAACATTACGAAACCACGCCAATATAAAAGCGCACGCCTTAGTGACAGGCTCCGGAAGTGTCGAACATCTGTTGGTGTTTAAAGTGTATTCACATCGCGCAGTACAAAGGCCTATAGCATGTCGCCTCCATCGAAAACGCCACCACCGGGACTGTGATCATGCTCGCAACTTTTGGGTCAGCAGCCGAACACCGTAAACACCGCGACGAATCGCTCGCGAAGAGCCAATCGCACGTTAGATTGATGGTTTGGAGCGGTCTTGTCTTGAAAATGTGTAGAGAAGCTTTGTTCTAACCTTAGTTTTCTTTACAACGTGACTCTTTCGTTTTTAGTTCATGGTCAGCGTTGAATCGTCTCTTTCTTTCCCGCCTCATCCACGTTTGCACGCTTTGTTTTCGTCAACAGCCTCTCTTTACTGGTCCGTGACGATCGGCATGGCGTAATCAGATCGACGAAGCGTGAAAACGAGCGCACTATATATATATTTTTTTCAGCCGTTTCCTGCCGCAAATCATATACGCTAGTAAAGCCAGCACCCATGTTCTCGTGATTTCGTTTGAGCTCACTGAGTTCCGTCGTACTCCGACCTTCGATGAACGAAATGCGCGAAGCTCTACAACTGGCGAACAGCCACGGAGGCAGGCTTAGCTGTCGCACAATAGTTCCTGACAGTCTACGAACAGCGCCTTCTTTTTTTTTTTTTTGAATGGCAAGAAGGAACGAAGCAAACGGAAATGGAGTAGGCAGGGACGTTAAACAGAAAGACACCCGGTTGGCTACCCTTGCGAATGAGGAACGGGGACAAGAGAGATGAGAATCAGGGAGAACGAAACGAAGCAAGGGAGAGACAGAAAGTAGCTTCCCTGAAGCGTGTATAACTTAAATCAGAGTGACTTACGATGCGGCATGCGATGTTTGCGGCACCGACGAAAATAGGGGCTTTTAGCTGTACTTGTACTTCTTTTACGTTACCGTGCCATGTTACCACCCTCGATTTGCCTCAGAGAGAAATACTTGCCAACGCATTGCGGCTACTGGATGATAGGCCATTTTCTGTGCAATGTGCTGCTACAGCATCATCCACATCTCTCGACGGCTCGCAAGGCAGTGAGAGATATCTAGCGCTTTATGAGGGCGATGGGCTTGCGTGAGCGCCTCCGACTTGCAATACAGTTATTTTTCAAATGAATCGGCGTCTTTCTCACAGAGAAAGTGTCAAACGTATGGCCCCATTCTCGTCAAATGAAAGTTGTAACTACTGAGATACCTCGTTGGATGCCGTGTAATCGAATTCTTACAGTGCTGTGCATCCAGACAGTGCGTGATGGCGCTTTAATTAGAACTGACAGATTTGTTTCACGTAATAAGCACGTTATTATTATGTTCTCCGGAGGGCAACCTTTAAAGTACATGGCCTCAATACTTTTTTTCTCCGCTTTGCTGGGGTGCAAACCGGAAGCCAGAAAAGCAAGACACAGCTGTTTCCGTTAGGTGACGTCAGAGCCAGCGCCACTAAACAAAACATCACTTTTGCTACAAAGGCGAAGCAATAAATACGAAAGCAACAAGTTGTAGTGTTATACGAGATAAATGACTTATTATACGAGAATCCAACCTGGCGTAAAGGCCTGACTCCACGTATCCGGTGCAGCCCGTCAATGCGTGTCTTTACTGACGCGCGCCGAGCCCTTTCCGGTATGGAGAGAGAAAGCGCGCAGCATCGCGTAGCTAAGCGCCCATTGGCGCGGCGCCACGTCAACAAGCCACGCGCCGACGCGCTGCAACGAATACGTGTGGTCAGGCCTTAACTCTACAAAACGCCGGCGGGAGGAGATACGGCCGCTCCAGGTGGCGAAACGGTGTTCGTGCAGCCTGTCTCTCCAACGCGAAGCGGTGAAAACGCTTCAAGTACTCAGTAAACTACTTTGCACCCTTAAAGGAGTCTCAACAAGCAAAACACCTTTTTGCCTAACCAAAATCTGCAAATGAATAGTGTAAGAGTGTTTTGCCTCCACAAACAACTTTTAAAGGGTGATGTTCATGGCAAAATCCTCTTTTAGAGGGAAGGGTGTTTTGACTTATCGAAACACCCATGACCCATATACCAACGAGTAAAATCATAGATGGTACTCGCAATTTAAAAGTCTTTGGATCTTAGGCAAGTTTATATTGAAAGATTCGTCTCCTTCATGGCTATCTACAATGATAGGCCTACTCTCTTAATGTAAAGTCTTCATTTATAAGGAACATGAATATTCCCAGCCGCACTAAACAGCGGCTTAAAATTTCATGTGGCTATATATACCAGATGGTATATATAGCCACATGAATACCAGATGGTATATATACGACATTTAAGAAGGCCTGCCGCACGTATCACATCAGCACTCTCGCCTGTCGTCATTCGATGTAGTAGAATCCTTCTAAAATATGTCGCTTCTAAAGTATGTCAAAGCAACGAGCCCTCGTTTCCCAGCGGCAAGTATGACAACATGGAACGTGATTCTTGGGTAGCTCGAATACAGTCACCAATTTTTTTCGTGAAAATGCTTTGCAGCGCGTAAGTATGCAAACAAAAAAGCGCAGTGCAGCCTTTTGTGGGGAGTTTTATTAGTTTATTCTTATGTTGTAACGAACTTCGTTTTTTTTTTAAATAAAGACTGAGAAGTGTTTAATAGAAAGAGTAACGAATAAGCACACAGCCTGCCATGCATAAATTTAAGCTTTATTACGTGGCTCTTTCTTTTTAACAAGATCGTGTTCCCTAATACGAGAAACACGAGAACAAGCTCATATAAAGCGTCGTTTCAAACATGCCTACAGTCTGGGCAAATGTTCGCAATGATCAAGTTCTATAACGTTAAGCAAAGACGTACGTGTCGCGTACCCTCATAACATGACACCCCATGACATATGGCCTGGCAGCGCTTCTTTGACGTCATGGCACATCTGCAAGTTGACGCAATACATTTTTTAAAAGTATGTCAGCTTTCCTTTTTTTCTTCTTTTTTTCCGTGTCGTCGGAGCTCAGATTGGCTGCCGCCAACCTGCGCGCAAACTTTGGTGAAATGTACGTACATCCGTCAGTCAGATGGAAAACTTCGCCCATGTCATGGTGAACAGAAAATATTCCAAATTAGTGGTGGATGCGACAACGTTGCCCTTATTTAACTACAAAAAAAAAAAA